AGGCCTGTCTCCTTGGCTTACAGATGACAACTTTCTCAGTATTTTCTCACATGGTCTTCCTTCTGAGTGTGCATCCCTAGTGTCTCTTTGTGTGCCCCAAATTTGCTTTTTTTAAAAGATGTCTTTTAGAGCAAATTTTTAGGTTCACAGCAAAATTGAGAGGAAGGTACAGAGATTTCCCATATATTCCCTGCCTCCACATATGCATAACCTTTCCTACTATCAACATCCTCCACTAGAGTGGTACATTTGATACAATTGATGAGCCCACATTAATGCATCATAATCACCCAAAGTTCATAGTTTATATTATGTTTCACTTTTGGTATGCACATACTAAGGGTTTGGGCAAATGTATAGTGACATGTATCCATCATTACGGTGTCATACAGAATATTTTCACTGCCCTAAAAGTCCTCTGTGCTTCAGCTATTCATCCGTCCCTCCTCTCCCCAAACCCTAGCAACCACTGATCCTTTCACTGCCACCATAGTTTTGCCTTTTCCGTGTTATATAGTTGGAACCATACAGTATGTAGCCTTTTCAGATCGGCTTCTTTCACTTAGTGATATACATTTAAGATTCTTCTATGCCTTTTCATAGCTTGGTAGCTCATTTCCTTTTAGTGCTGAATAATATTCCGTTGTTGGGATGTACCACAGTTTATTTATTCATTCATCTACTGAACGACATCTTGGTTGCCTCCAAGTTTTGGCAATTACGAATACAGCTGCAGTAAACCCATGTGCAGGCAGAAGTGTGGACGTAAGTTTTCAGCTCCTTTGGGTAAATAAGAGGGAGGACAATTGCTGGATCATATGGTAAGAGTATGTTTTGTTTTGTAAGAAACCACCAAGTCTTCCAAAGAGGGTGTATCATTTTGCATTCCCACCAGCAATGAATGAGATTTCCTGTTACTCCACATCCTAGCTAGTATTTGCTGTTGTCAGTGTTCCACATTTTGGCCATTCTAATAGGTATGTAGTGGTATTTCATTGTTGTTTTAATTTGCATTTATTTCCCTGATGACATATGGTATTGAGCATCTTTTCATATACTTATTTGCCATCTGTATATCTTCTTTGGTGAGGTATCTGTTAAGATCTTTGGCTCCATTTTTAATCAGGTTGTTTGCTTTCTGATTGTTGAGTTTTAAGAGTTCTTTGTATATTTTGGATAACAGTTCTTTATCATATGTGTCTTTTGCAAGTATTTTCTCCCAGTCTGTGGCTTTTCTTCTCATTCTCTTGACGCTTTCTTTTTGCAGAGCAGAAGTTTTTAATTTTAATGAAGTCCAGCTTATTAATTATTTCTTTCCTGGATTGTGCTCTTGGTGTTATCCCATACATTTTTATACATTATATTTTAATTACATTTATTTTAAAATATTTTCCAATTCCCTTTGTGATTTCTTCTTTGACTCATGGATTATTTGTTTAATTTCTAAATATTTATAGATTTCTCAAATTTCTTTCTGTTGAATTCTAGTTTAATTCTGTTGTGGTCAGGGCACATACATTATATGATTTAATCCTTTTAAATATACGAGATTTGTTTTATGGCCTAGCATATGATCTATCCTGTAGGATGTTCTATACACACTAGAAAAGAATGTGTATCCTGCTGTTGTTGAGTAGAGTATTCTCTAGATATTAATCAGGTCAAGTTAGCTGATAGTGTTACTCAAGTTTTCTACATCCTTGCTGATTTTCTGTCTAGTTGTTCTATCTATTATTAAGAATGTGGTATTGAAGTTTCCTTCTATTACTGTTGAATTTTCTATTTTTCTCTTCAATTTTGTAAATTTTGCTCCATGTATGTTGGTGTTCTGTTGTTGGTATGTATATATTTATAATTGTTATATCTTCCTGATAAATTGACTGTTTTATCATTATAAAATGCCCCACATTGTCTCTTGTAACATTTTTGTCGTAAAGCCTATTTTGTCTGATATTAGTATAGTCGTTCCAGTTCTCTTATGGTTACTATTTGCATGATATATCTTTTTTCATCCTTTTACTTTCAACCTTTTTGACTTTAAAGTTTGTCTTTTTAGTTGGATCATATTTTTTATTCAGCCTGACAATTTCTGCTTTTAATTAGTGTTTAATCCATTTACATTTAATGTAATTGTTGACATGGTTGAATTTACATCTGCCATCTTACTATTTTCTATTTTTTTCATTTTTTTCTTCCTCTGTTTCTCTTTTACTGCCTTTATATGCAAAAGTGATATTGTCTAAGGCACCATTTTAATTTCTTGGCTTTTGTTTTTAGTTATTTTCTTAGTAGTTTCTTACTGTAATACATCTTAACTCATTACAATCTACTTTAGAGTAATACTAACTTTATTCCAGTTAAATACAGAAACTTTGCTCCGAAAGAGCTCCACGTCCCCCTCCTTTGTGCCACTATTATTCTAAATATTACATCTTTATATGTTGTAAGGCCAACAATACAGTTTTATAGTTTTTGTTTTATGCAACTGTTATTTAAATTAGTTAAGAGAAGAGTAATGAATATTTTCAACTGTCTTTTGTATTTCCCTATGTTATTACCCTTACTAGTGTTCTCTATTTCTTTGTGTAGTTTTGAGTCACCATCTGGTGTCATTTCCTTTCAACCTAAAAGATTTCCTTTCTAATTTCTTGTAAGGCAGATTTTCCCACAACAAATTCTGTCCTTTGTTTTCCTGAGAAGTTCTAAATTTTGCTTTCAGTTTTGAAGGATAGATTGCTGCATATAGAATTCTTCGTTGACTTTTTTTTCTTTCACCATTTTGAATATGTCATCCCACTGTCTTCTGGCCCCCATTTTTTCTGGTAAAAATTCAGCTGTTAATTTCATTGTGTTCCTCTGTATGTAAAGAATCATTTCAGTTCCAAGATTTGCATTTTATCATTTTTTATAATTTCTATTTCTTTATCTATATTTGGTTAGTTGATAAAATCATACTTTCATTTAATTTTCATTGTTCCCTTTAGTTCTTTGAGCATAATTATAATAGCAGTTTTGAAGTTCTTGTCTGCGAAGTCTAACATTTGAGCTCCTTAAAGACAGTTTCTATTGACTGCTTTTTTTCTTGCTTGTGGGTCACACCTTCCTATTTCTTTGCACCTCATAATTTTTGTTGTTGTTGAAAACTATATATTTTAGATAATGTGTTGGAGCAACTCTGGATTTTGAATCCTCAATCCCAGAGGTCGTTTTTGTTGTTTCTTTTTTGTTTATTTGTTTGTTAGTGACTTACATGGATTAATTCTGTGGAGTCTGTCTCCTTTGCATCATATAGCTGCTGATATTTCTTAAGTTTTTAATTTTTTTTTTTGCATCTGAGCTAACATCTGTTGCCAATCTTCTTTTCTTTTTCTCCTCCTCCTCCGCCTCCCCCTCCCGAGAGCCCCCCAGTATGTGGTTGTGTGTTCTAGTTGTAAGTCCTTCTGGTTGTGCTCTGTGGGACACTGCCTCAGCATGGCCTGATGAGTGGTGCCATGTCTGCTCCCGGGATCCGAACCAGGAAAATCTTGGGCCGCGGAAGTGGAGTGCATGAACTTAACTGCTCAGCCCCTGGGCTGGCCCCAAGTTTTTAATTTTGTAATCATTTTTTTATTTTTAAGGCCAGTTTCCTAGGGGTTGCCCCTGAGTCAATATAGCTTAATGGTGAGACAATGATTGATCAGAAGTTGTGCTTATTTTGAGCCAGTAAGGCTTCACTCTTTGCCAGTGGATCTCTGTGTGGATTAAGGAACACAGTCAAAATTTAGGCAGTTTACAAGTGTGACTGGCTTTTACTTTCCGACATGCCTTCTCAAGTCTTCTTTATGAGTGTACTAGGTTTCACATTCATCTGGGAAAGCCTGGATAGCTAGTGCCCTCTCCAGTCTCTCCTGAGCATGCACAGCCTTACAGATTGCAAGGAGTTTGTGTGAGCTTATCAAGGCCTATGGTGGCTGTCTCATTCCCCAGATCTCACTGCTAAATTTCTTGCAAGTCTACTGGTCTATTTCTTGTCCGTACCAGTATCAAAACCTCAAGCCAGCCAGAGATGTTGGCTTTACCTGGGGCATGTGTTTCATTCCAAATCAAGTTAGCCCCCTCTAGCAGGGGAGCTGGTGGTTTCTAGGACTTTCCTTACCCTTTTAGAACTATCAAGATAATATAAACTGGGGGAGGCAGTTTTGCTCTAAATTATTTCACTCAGCCACTTTGTTATTATTGAACATTAAAGTTTTTCTCACTTTTTGATACAATGACCATCTTTATGAAGCTTTCCTTTCTTACTATTTGTATTAGTTTCCTAGGTCTGTCATACAAATTTACCACAAGCTCGGTAGTATAAAACAACAGAAATTTATTTTCTCACAGTTTAGGAGACCAGAAACCCAAAATCAAAGCAGCACTGAGGTTGATTCCTTCTAGAGGCTCTGAGAGAGAATCTATTTCATGGCTCTCTCCTAGCTTCTGGTAGCTGCCAGCAATCCTTGGCATAGCAGCATCCCTCCAATCTTTGCCTCCACTGTCACATAGTCTTCTTCCCTGTGTGTCTGTGTACCTGAATCTCCCTCTCCTCTCTCTTATAAAGACACGAGTCATTGGATTTAGGGCACACCCTAATCCCATATGACCTCATCTTAACTAATTACATCTTCAAAGACCTATTTACAAAGAAGGTCACATTCTAAAGTTCCAGGTAGACATGAATTTGGGGGGACGCTAGTCAACCCAGCATTCATTCTAAAGCATCACCTGAATATCTGTAAGGTCTCTCTGTTGTGGATTAGGCGACCTTTTGTAAAGATTAGTTAGGAAATGAATAGAACTGTAAAATAGCACTTGACATTTTTGTTGAGGTGGTTCTTCCAGTTAAGCTAGCTCACACCTTCTTTTTTGGTTATTTTATTCATATTATTAGGAAAAAGACAGAGAGGTCTGTGGACAGGAAAGGTTTAGCAGTGCCTCGCTGCTCTCAACTCTGACTTACATGTCTGCTTTTATTGTAGAGCCAAATAACTATCGGACCATGCATGGCCGGGCAGTAAATGGCAGCCAGTTGGGAAAGGATTACATCCAGCTGAAGAGCCTGTTACAGCCCATCCGGATTTACTCCAGAGCCAGCTTGTATGGCCCTAACATTGGGCGACCCAGGAAGAACGTCATCGCCCTTCTAGATGGGTAGGTCAGATTACTTAGCAGTTCTTATAGCATTGTTCATTAAAGGTAATGAATTAATGTATTTGCATTTTTCCTGGTTATTTCTGGTCTTAAGAAAGATAGAGAGACTTTTCCAGTGACTTTTCCCACTCTAAATCAGGGATTCTCCATCAAACAGTGGAGGAACTTCTCATCTCTCCAGGTGTTCCACAGGCAGCAGAAGATGGTAGGATTGGGGAAGGATATCACAATCTCCAGGACAGATTGGAAGGGATGGCTTGTTTCAAAAGCATATTTAATATTACAGTATTTCATAGCATCATTTATATATATATATTTTTTTTCTTTTTCTTTTTGGTGAGGAAGATTGGCTCTGACCTAACACCTGTTGCCAATCTTCCTCGTTTTGCTTGTGGAAGATTGTCACTGAGCTAACATCTGTGCCAATCTTGTTCTATTTTGCATGTGGCATACTGCTACAGCATGGCTTGATGAGTGCTGTGTAGGTCTGGGCCCAGGATCCAAACCTGTGAACTGTGGGCTGCCAAAGTGGAACACACAAACCCACCCACTATGCCACCAGGCCGGCCTCTCATTTTATATCTTTAAAAAAGCAAAATAATGTCTACTCTATTCTTGTAACATCCTACAGAAAGTAAAGCTTGACAAAATCCTGGCCAGTGGAGCTGAGTTAAAAAGTTGAGAAACACTACAAATACTTGTAGATTAAAGCACAACTTGATAGGTTTAATAGCAGGTGTTCTGGAGAATTGCTACCATATGATTTATTTAGTTTTGATCTAATCTAATAATCATTTTTTAAGCCTTGGCTGTGGGTGAAGCACTGTATTAAATGCTCTCTGCCCCAGTCCTGCTGGTGGGCCAGGCCCAGGTGAATAAGTGGACATCCACTCAGGTCGGGTCCAGTTATGCAGGGAGAGAAGGAACGTCTGAGAGAACTGCATGAGGAAGGCTGAAGATGTGTGGATCCAAGACCCAAAGTGGAGATGTAACTGGAGCAGGAAGGGTGGAAATAAGGAAGCTTGGAGACTCAGGAGTTCTTTTGGAACACAGAGTATGCACCAAGGCATACCTTTTATGTGGCATCTTGTTGTACTCTGGGGTAGGCATGGTTATTCCTGCAAACTCAAAGATGAGTAAGACATTTTCCGGTGAAGTGCACAGCCCAAGTGAGGTTAGATAAATGCCATAGAGTACAAATAGAGATATCCGATGAAAGAGAAACCCTTGGCCAATGTCTCAGATGGCCCTTATGGCTTCATGGCTCCTGCAAATCTCTCTCCTCCCTTTTTTGGTGACTTAGTCTTTATCTAAGCTAATGAACATAGCAGATATTACTGAAGGTTTGGAAAGGCAGAGGATTTATATTGTAACAACATTAACAATCTAAAATTTAATTTTAAGTGTTTTCTTCTTTACAAAGTCTCCTCAAGCCCTTGCTTCAACTCCTGTCCTTTGTCCATCCTTCTCTTTTCTCCCCTTCTACTTGCGAACAACTTTTCCTTTTTCTTTTTTTGCTGAGAAAGGTTAGCCCTGAGCTAACATCTGTGCCAATCTTCATCTATTTTATATGTGGGTCACTGCCACAGCATGGCTGACAAGTGCCTGGATTCTGAACCTACAAACTTGGGCTGCCGAAGTGGAGTACACTGAACTTAACCGCTAGGCAATGGAGCTGGCCCCTACATTCCCTTTTTCTTGCAGAACAATTTCATAACCTTGGCCCCTAACCACAAATGCAGCTCTGGGCTTTCCTTTGCATACTTTCACTAGACTTTGAAATTACTCTGCATGTGTGTGTGTGTGTGTGTATGGGATGGAGATGGAGAGGTTAGTTTTATTTTACGTGTTATAATTAGGGAATAAGAATCACATGTGTAAAAGTTTATTCATTGTTCATAATATATAATCAAGCAAAGCCAATAATTCTATCATTTAAATCCACATAGTTATTCTTTTGGATTATCTTTTTTCTTTAATGATTTGATTAATGTCTTCCCATGGGACTGACAATGTCCTCTGAGTATCCTGACCTTGTATCAATCATTTATTCATTCTGCAATTGTTTCTTGAGTAAGTGCTATGTCCTGGGTGCTTCATCTGGAACTTGTAATATGATAATAAACAAAAACAGATACTTTCTCTGCCCTCATGGAGTATATAATATTTAGGGGAGACACAGACGTTATATCAACTGATCTTAAAACTAAGACAATACCAAGAGAGGTACTGTAAGGGCTGGGATTTGACTCAGTTAGGAGGTCATGAAAGGATTTCCTAAAGAAGTCACACATAAGAGGAAGAGAGATATTTAAAGTGTAACCTAAATGATGAGTAGGCATTAACTAGACAAAGTGAGAAGTGAAAAATATCAGTGTTCTTGGGAGAAAGAAAGGGTTGTGCAAAAGCCCAGAGGATGAAAAAAGGGCCAGATGGACTAAAGAAAGGTATAGCCACAGAAGTAATTAGGAGTCGTATTGTATAGGAGCTTATATGCATAGTGAAGGTCTTAGAACTTTTTCTAAGTGCAGTGGGAAAGATGTTGAATGTTTTTAAGCTTGGAAGGGAAATAATTTGACTTATTATACAAAAAGTATGCTATGTCTGCTCTGTGCAAAATGGATTGGAAAGGAAGCAGGGAAATCAGTGAGAAGGCTACTGCAGCAGAAAGAATGATAGGGACCTGGTCTAGGGTGGTGGCAATGGAAAACATTGTTGGAGGTAGAATCCACAGGATATATTGGTTAAGTATATAGTGATGTGACATAGGGATGTGTACCTAGCTTGGTGGATTGTAGTCATTTACTGAGATGGGAAGACTTGGGGGAATAATTGATTCTGGGAAGACAATCATAGCTTTAGTTTTCATGTTATGTTTATTACGCTTGAATCGAAATGGAGATGTCAAGTGTATCATTGAATATGAGATCAAGGATCAAGGTCTCTGCTAGAAATATTAATTTGGGGGGGTCATTAGCATGGAAATGTTATTTAAGGCCATTGGAATAGAGGAGATCATTTAGAGAGACTGTGGAAAGATAAGAGACAGAGGCTCAGGAGAGAGCCCAGAGGAACTCTCACATTTAGAGATGTGAAAAAAAGGGGAATGGTCTCAGAGGTAAGAGGAAAGGGAGAGATTGAGATATCACAAGAACCAAGAAAAGAGAGTTTTAAATGAGGAGGAATGCTGCTAGGAAGCCGGGAGGTCAAGTAACAGGAGGACAGAGAAGTGCCATTGCATTTGGCAACATGCAGGTTGTTGGTGACCTTGAGAAACACAGTTCAGTTGAGTGGTAGGAGCAGAAGTCAGATCACAATACGGTGAATGAGGGGGTGAGAAGCTGGAAACAATAATGTAGACAATAACTCTTAGGAGAATTTTTACTGTGAAGGAGAGCAGAAAAATGAAGGGAGATGTGGGATCAAGAAAAGTGATGGCACTTTTCCCCTTTAATGTGGAAGATAGCAGAACAAGTTTATATGTTGATGAGACTTATCCAGGAGAGGAGAAGAGCTACATGATACAAAAGATTGAGGATATAACCAAAGTGAGAAGTTCTTTAAGGTTAGAAGAAATGGAATCCGGAGGGATTGGCCTTCGTTAAATGGAGGGGCAATTCCACCAGGGTAACAGATGGTAAGAAACAAATATTTCTCTCTATCAGAGAGTTAAAAGTCAAACTGAGGAGACGCTGCTACCCAGAACATCAGGTGTAGTTAGGGCATCCCAGTCTGTGTACATGGTGTAAATGTAAGCACATAGGTGTGGGTTCATTATGAATATGTCAAGAAGCTTGGGCATGACAGTAAGCAACAGATGAAAGAAATGAGCATATGACTGGGTATTGTTGTGGCAAGTGGTGGAGTGCACTTCTTCGTACATCCAAAAACTAATAGGACTCAAGAGACTAGAGGAAATCACTCATGGCAAGGAGAGGTACTGATGAGCTTTTTTATTTTTTATGTGCCGGAAGAAAAATGGAGATTTATCTTTCTTAATGTATATGTACTAAATATACAGTGAAACATAACGTGAAACATATAAGCATTCCCAGCAACGCAATCAACAATAACAAAAATGTCACCACTCTTAATTACCAGCTCTGTAATCTTTTCCAATCCTCCTGTATAACCAGATATAATTTTACATAGTTGTGATCATTGTATATGCATCATTTTGTGTTCTGCATTTTTTATTCATTGCTTTATATTGTCCTTTCCTTATTTCTACATAGTTCTCATGTTTGTCATTCTTAATAGCAATAAAACATTCTATTGCATTAATGTACCAAAGTCTGCCTAAGTGTTCCCTCGCTGTTGGGCATTTGGGCTGTTTCCAGTTTTTGTCTGTAATATATAGCATAGCTATAAACATCTTTATACAAATAGGGTTTTTATTTCTTTTGAATTACATCCTTGGGCTATATTCCAAAAAGTTGGGTTTCTGGGTCAAAGTATATGATAATTTTTATGGCTCTCATATTTGTTGCCAAATCTCTTTTCAGAGTAATTTCATCACGTTGCAAGGCAGCAATGTGTTAGTGTATCTTTTTCTGCAATACCTGACACCAATGACTGTTGTCAGTTTTATTAATTTACTCTATTAATTAATGCAAGAGCATGCCTCATGTTGTTTAAATTTGAATTCTATTAACTATGAAAATAACTGAACATTTTCTAAATTCTTATGTTGTTTCTTTCCCCTCATCCCAAGTTTGGTTAATGACAAAATAACCATTTTGCCTGAGGTGCAGACCAGGAATCCATTTTAGATACATTCCTTTCTTTTGTTCACCTACTCCATCAGTTAGAAGTTCTGTTATTTCTGACTTCTTAGTATCACTTATATCCTATCTTCTTTTCATTTTTATTTTAAACCTTATCATTTTCATCCTAAATGATTTTTCCATCTCTAGTCTCAGGCTCTAATAATTTCTCCATATTGATTTCTGAGTAGTTTTTTAAAAATGCAACATGTGGTCCAGTTGCTCTTGCTTGAA